TATAGGTCACCGTATGACCTTCAACAATGAGCAAAACCCATACCCATAAGATCATTTATACAAATGAATGTGGTAACTTCCTATGAATAAATTTTTCAATTGAACAATGCTCTTAAAATTTTCATTGCATCTATGTTGATATTTTTAACTGATATACAGCAAACTAACAATATACCAAAAAACGTAGGCTACTTACTGTACAGTTTTTAGACCATCGGATAGCCAGTTTTTCTGTCGAAGGTCTATGGTTCTCTCCGGAAACTCCGACTTCCTCCACCCATAAATACTGGCCGCCACGAAATAACCAATAGTATGGAAATTGGCGTTAAAACGCCAAAACAAATCAATCAATCAATATGTATTACACTTAATTTCCCTCGGTCAACGGACACATCTTCCCATGTAACATCGCGCAAAAAATACCAACGGACTGAAGTTGATAAACAATTGGTTTAGCTTAAAATGACAATATGCTTATACATAATATTCGAATAAAGGAGGAAACAAGAACCAAACCACATGCTGTACTAAAATTGATTATAAACATAGAAAATTACAACAGAAAAACTATATCCAAACCAATGAGGTCAAGCTATAGTTATAGGAGCCTGGTTTCAGTGAGAGGCTGCTATACTAAAATGATACCAATTAATTTTCTTGTATATTATTTTTTACTTGAGAACCGAGCTCAAATGCAAAATTTCATTTTTATCGAAGGATTTCTTGCAGACAAAATAGTAAGCATAATACTACGCCTTGTTCGTTCACAATGCGATTTGACAAATGAGAAAACGGATATAACCTCACAATAACCATTGCTATTATATACAACGTGAGTAACATTGACAAGGGTAAATAAGGTCCAATATTCTGTAATTCTGTACATCATTTCTGAAAATACTTCAAGCAAATCCGAGTCAGACTTATAATGTTTCCAAGAAACCCATGTTCTTTTAAAATTTCATCAAATTACTTAATAGTTAATCAATATGGCACCCATTACTGTTTAAAAATAAAATGCAAGCAACCATGGTACATGTAACATTTCTAAGGATGTATATTTTTTGTAGAATTATATAATTTTTCAAGGAATTCATGAAGGTTGTGTAATGTTACTCTATAACATTAATCTGGTATAAGTTCTCTTTTAAGGGACCCTGTATTTTAGGGTTGGGGATTTGAATTGAGACTCATTATGGCCTCATTACATCATGACACTATTTCTGGAGTACTTATTGTATAATCATGAGCAACCTGAACTTGATTGAAGGTTTCCATAAGACAAACGGCTGACACCAAATAAAGGGACATGCAAACTCATAAGTCGAAAAAAAACTGACAACGCCATGGCTAAAAAAGAAAGAGACCAACAGACAAACAACAGTACACAAAACACAACACAACATAGAAAACTATAGACTAAGCAACACGAACCCCACTAAAAACCCGGGGTGATCTCATGTGCTCCGGAAGCGTAGGCAGAATCCTGCTCCACATGTGGCATCCGTCGTGTTGCTCGTGTAAGTACAAACCCGGTGAAAAGTCTAATTCGGTAGGTCACATTCGGGGGAAAGAGGACGGGATTGTGGTTACGACAATTGGAACATGTCCGTCATCATCTGTGAAACAGATATTCCATAACGGTCAACAAACTCGTGATGACGTCCGTAAAATTTACGAATGATTTCAACTTCACCAATTGGAACTCTTGGTTTAATAGCTTCCTTGTGAGCAGCAACCCTCTATCAAGGAAATTATTATAGGAAATACAAGCCCTGGAGTATCGTATCAACTGGGAGATATATACTCCGAGTGCAGGCGCTGCTGGAATGTTCCTACATAGAAATGGAAAGTTCACAATTGGGAAACTGAAATCATCTCTTTCGTCGTAAAGTTTTGTTTTCAACCGATCCTCATTGTCAATATCTAGATGTAAGTCAAGATATGAGACAGACTTACTTGTATCTGTTGTATCCTTTATCTCAAGTTCGGTGGAATAGATGCGTGAAACGTAGTCACCAAACTTTGAATTATTTAGTCAGAGAACATCATGTCTATACAGTGGAAAAGGAAGTTAAAGGATATTGCTTACTTTTTTGCTTTGTTCCTACGAAGCTCCTGTATGAAGTCAGCCTCATTTGAATAAAGGAACAACTCGACAAGAAGAGGAGCACAGTTGGTTCCCATGTCGATTGTTTGTTGAAACACATGTCCTCCAAACGTAACATATATGTTGTCAATCAAGAAATCAAGCATCTTTTTAATGTCAGTTACATAGAATTTTTTTGTTTGAATCAGAGTGATTTTTTTACAAAGTACGATTTATCCCTCCCTAAGACAAGATAATTGTATCTACGTTGGCCATTTTTTTTTATGAAATTAAGTAGGACCAACTCTTTTAATTTGTCTTTTAGATTAGAATGGGGAATACTTGTGTAAAGTGTAGAAAAGTGGAATGTTTTAATACTTTGCATGATGTAAGAGTCTTAGATTGTTTTTACTCTAAAACATCTTCGGAACTTTTTAGTAGCCACATATGATTCACGTCACCACTAGAATATGAAGTTTCACAATAACATTGAAGCCCGGCTTTTATTGCTGATAGAATTGATGTTAATAATTCAGAAAGAGGTTTCGTGGAGCACTTGGAAGACCAAGCAATATATAGTCGTTTGTAAAGACACTTATTTAATTTACGTATCCAATACCTAGTTCTTCATCTTTGGTTGAAATTCCAAAGTAACATAGCACAGACCTATGATTATCCATGATTTCCTCCATGGTGAGTGTCGTTGGGGTAAATGTTGAGTTTCCAAGTGAATTGTCAATACCTTATTCATTTATAAAGCAGTTTATGTAATGTGATATACACACAAAAACGATATTGTTGGGGGTAACAATCGACCTCTCAACATCTTCGTCTTATTTTAATTTTGTGTTGTTGTGGTTCGTGCATGTCGATCTGACTTTTACAGTTCGTTCTAATGTTGTGCTGTTACACCGCAGTCCGAAGTTAGGCGAGGATTAATTGCCTCAAAACATGTTTTAACACCATCGCATTCTTTGTGTCCCTGTTCACAGTCAGGATTCTGAAATACAGTGGTTGTCATTGGTTCATATTGGTTGCTTTTTTTCATCTTTCTTGTATGTTTATTATTTTTAGCATAAATCAGGCCGTTGGTTGTTCTCTGTTGGATAGTTTCACATTTGTCATGCCAGGGCATTAATATATGGTATAGGTTTTGTTGGAGGCCATACTGTGACCTTTAGTTGTCTGCATCTTCGTCCTTTGTTCTCTGATCGATTTTTTCTCATTGGCAATCATTAATACCACATCTCCTCATTTTTATAAGATCAACTTTGACTGAGGGTTGCAAACTAATTTTTAGTGCAATTTCCCATCTTAGAAACTGCAAATTAAGTGGCTATTTCGTTGCTGAACTACTCAGTAGATACAATACTGACTGTAAACTTTTATTACACGGTTTGTAAGCATGGTCCTTATAATGTAAAACTTCTTTCACAATTGTTTGAGTAAGGTTGAAGAAATATGATTAATGTACTTTAGAAAAGTATGCAATACACAGGACTTTGGAGGGTCTAAAACGCGGGAGTGTAAATTTAGATTGACATGTCATTTATCTAGAACGGCTCATCATAAACTTAAAGTTGATTCGTATTTTCAAAGCATAAATACAGTGTACTGTAACAAGTTTATTTTAAAATTCATATTTTCCAAAAATTTGACCAGACGCCTTGTTAAGAGTGAATGTGTCAATCCGATTTTGTAACTTTGAACTAAAATTCACGGAAAAAAGATTCAACCCGGTCAAAAGCTTTACATGTAATAGAATTTCTAAAAGACAATTTTACTAACAAATGACATGATATGATAGCAATGCATCAAGTAAAATGGGGAAAATCTGGACCGGAAGCCTCCCTTGTATTGAAATCCCAAAATCAAATTTTTAATTTTGAACAAGAATCTATAAAACTGATTATTAGTTTCAATTATACTTAGTAAAATTTTATTGGTGCTGAAACATTTAATCAATGAAAAAAATTATGTGCACCGTACAGTACAGTGGCGCTATATTTCTTGATAACAAATGTATTAAGAAAAAGAAAAAGAAAAATATTAAAAAAAAAAAACAACCCAAAAATGAAAAAAAAAGTAAAAAAAAAAGAAATAAACATAAAAGCAAGTAATTTGCTGAAAATGTAACTTATGCAGGGAGCTTATATTAAGTACATTTACAAGATCTTTAAAACGATTAGCTTCCGGGTTACGGCGGTTGCCTTGGTCCCCCATTAATGTTCTGTCTAGAACCCGCTGACATCCTGCCGAAAGTTGCTTCAAATTATAAACTGCTTCTTTAAACCACTGTATATGATGACACCACCTTCAAGCATTTTTTCAGGATAAGAAAACTTCTCTTAAAATTTGTTACTTTATTCATGTTTTGTTCTTACGAACGACAAAAAAGAAATCACTTCATTTTTTTGTGTACCAGTTACATTCCAACAGCACTTGCATATGGCATATAGATATCGCAGTTGATATACTAAAAGCATAAATAATCAATCGTAAAACACATTATAAACTACCCAATTGTGCAATTTTGACTGTTAATCATGCATGGGTCATTTTAATCTGTTGTAATATTGATTGCTCACAGTATACTTTCTATTTTAACTTTTCAAATATTTATTCTCATTAGATCTTACAAATCATCGTCGTGGGTAAAGAATAGCACCGTGCCTCTGTAAAAGTTGAAATTCTGTCTCTCTAGCCCAGATTTTGACCCGAACTATTCGGAGAACTGCCTGGTCAGTAAACTGACAACAATTTCTTAGCTACAGAGAAATTTCCAATCTTTATATCAAAATTACATATAATTCCACGTCGGATTCAACGTGAGAAGATAAGCTTGGTAAGCATGGTATAAAAGCACGCTTTTACCATGTGGATATATCAAACTCAAAATACTCCCGCCAAAATGTGGTCGATTCTTGTCTTTCTAGTTTACGTGTTGACAACTACTGCTCAAATAGTCAGACCCGGTGGATGTCCAAAAGCTGTTACTCAAACCACGCTTGATTTACCACAAGTAAGTTTTTTTTTCTTTAAGTATACTTATTTTCATTTGAACAAGAACTCAGCTATCATTATCGTTTCTTTCTTTTCACATTGTGAGATATACCTTGCGCAATTTTTGGAGATTACGAGTTTGCCGCTTTAAAATTAGAATAGCTGTTGTATAAAGTTTTGGTGTGGATTGAGATTTAAACAAACTTTGATCTGTGAATAAGAATACACGTATGTTTCAAGTTTGTTTGACAGAGAATGGACTTTTATATTATCGGACAACGAATGATAGCATTGTAGAAAGTACTCACCAGTTATTTATGATAAATATAAAATAGTTCCACATATTTATACTTTTGAGAACATCTGCAGGAAACCATTGTTACAAGGTTAATTTAAAAAAAAGAAAACTTTTAATACCAAAGTGTGATTATTATTTTCTTTTTTATATTATCAGTACCTAGGAAACTGGTATGAAATATACAAATTTTGGGCAATTTTTGAAGTTGGACAAAAATGTGTAGAAGCCCACTATACACTGAAGGATAACGGCCATGTCAAAGTGGAAAACTCTGGTACCAGGTGAGTTTAACAATGATATATGATAATCAGTGGTATTGTCGCATAAGGATATTTACAATAACAAAGAAGCGATAATGAACCTAAAACAAATCTTGCCCGAATAGTTGGTTTAGACAAAAAGTAATGTGCTTTTTTTTTTGTTATCCTGTAAAACTTGAAATACTTTTGTTGTTCGTATACTAAAATAAAAATTACGTGTATATATAACGTTAAATATTATAGTTCCTCATTTGACCATCATTGATAGGAAGTTGTTCACTAATCATTAAGTTTAGTGTACGCCTTCCCAGAATGTTTTAGAATTTGAAACTCAAATTCTCTCACGAACTTAAAAAGGAGTAAACAAACAAAAAAACGGAAGAACTCTCCCTGTTTTTTGGCTAGAATAAACACATTTTGAAAATAAATAATGCAGCACACTGAGGAATGATTCTGAAACATTGTTGATATTGCTAGTGATAGGTTGTGTTCTGGTGTTTATTTTATTGTTACGGTTTTCTATCTTCTTTTTTTGCAGATTTGGAAGCAAAGTTGAAGCATTGGGTGATCTTTATATGCCAGACTCTAACCGCCCTGCTAATCTGAAAGTTAAGTTTGGTAACAGTAAGTATCTACTAAAAGTTTTTACATACAATGATTACTTTTTACATACAATTATTGCTTTTACATACAATGATTACTGTTTACATACAATGATTATTTTTTACATACTATTATTGCTTAACATACAGTGATTACTTTTTACATACAATTATTTTTGCATACAGTGATTACTTTTTACATACAATGATTACTTTTTACATACTATTATTGCTTTTACATACACTGATTACTTTTTACATACAGTGATTACTTTTACATACAGTGATTACAATTTACATACAATAATTGCTTTCCATATACAATGATTACTTTCTACATACAATGATTATTTGTTGCATGCAATTATTGCTTTTTACATACAATGATTACTTTTAACTTACATTGATTGCTTTTTACATACAATGATTACTTTTTACATACACTGATTACTTTTTACATCCACTGATTACTTTTGACATACATTGATTACCTTTTACTTACGGTGATTACTTATTACTTACAATGATTACTTTTTACATACAATGATTATGTTTTACTAAAGACGATTACTTTTTACATACAATTATTGCTTTCTACATACAATGATTACTTTTTATATTCAATCATTACTTTTTACATACAATAGAAGATTACAATTATGATTGCTTTTTTATTTTATTGCAGGTGCTCCATATGGAGACTACTGGGTGTTGGATACTGATTATAAAAACTATACATTGATTTACTCATGTGGTTCTTTACTTGGACCACTCGGACATGTAGAGTCAGCGTGGATATTAGGTAGACAGAGGACTTTGGAACAATCTATTGTAGACAAACTTTTTGCTAAAGCCAAATCTTTTGGAATAAATACAGACCATTTTTCAAAGACCGATCAAAGTGGTTGTTAAAAGACATTATTTCTTGTGATATTATAACCTGTTTTTGTTTTGTTTTGTTATTTTTCAAAAAAAATTATTCAATAAAGAATATGTTTTTTGTTACGAGTACTTCGATTCCATACTGATTAAAAATTGTATATATTCGACTAAGTAAACCTTTATGACGTTTTTGAGGGATATAACCAGTGTGTATTTGACAAAGAATACAACCCCAAATCTCCTCCAAATAAAACCCAAACCAAACCAAACAGAACAAATAAAATCTAATGAAAATAACAAGGCTATACATTTCTTTCTATTTAGTTTACAAGACCAAAACATGTTTTTAATCCGAAGACGTATTCGAAAAATAAAATGATGAAATATATAAAAGGATTTTTTATTTAGTCAATTGATGACTGAGGCATTCTTGTCTGGTCAATTGTTCTGAGTGTAAGTTCTATATATTTTTCATTTATACTAGTACCCCTTTACTAAAGGTACAGCATATTCTGGCGGCAAAATTGATGTCATACTATAGTTGGTAGTTCTGTAATTTTTTATTTTTTTTTCTTTTTTTTTGGGGGGGGGGGGGGGGCTTTAAGTCTTAAATCTTTTTGTTAGTTGTTAATAGTGGGCTTTCTATCGTTCTGATGAGTTTAGCATTTTTCAACTGATTTTTAACAGTTTGTTCTTATGTTGTGTTGTTGCACTACTGTCCCAGGTTAGCTGGAAATTGGGCGCCCGCAAACATGTTTAACGCCACCAAATTCTTAATGTGCATGTCCCAAGTCAGGAGCCTGAAATTCAGTGGTTGTCGTTTGTTGCTGTTTATTATGTTTGTTTTTCATTTATTGTTTTGTATATGACAGGCCGTTAGTTCTATCGTTTGAGTTGTTTTACATTTGTCATGTCGGGGCCTTTTACAGCTTGCTATGCTATGTGGTATGGGTTTTGCTCATCGTTGAAGGCCGTACGGTGTAACAGTTGTTTCATTGACAATCTTTCCAGATCTTATTATTTTTACATTATCCAAAATATATTTTGCGTCTTTGGTTACGAGCATACCTTAGAAATCTGAGGGATCAACCATTTTGTTTTTTGGGGGCATGGAAGTGCTCTTAGGTCCTAGATTTCATTTCAATCAAGAGCATAACTTTTTTCTTGTAAGATGCTGTCTTGGATTTTTCTACAAAAACTCAATATTTGGATAGATAAATACAGTACTTAATCGGTTCAAGATAGTCAAAGAACGATTGCAAGTTTAATATTGAAGACGTATAGGAGCAAATGCAATTGTCGGGAAGTGTCTCCCACTTAGATGGAACCCGGTTATCAATCATTTAAATAAATTGAAAGCAAACCCAAGATTTTGAGTTCGAGTCCTACATATTAAACTTAATAGTCGAGAAACACAACTAGTGGAAAATTATAATGAAATCTTGATAGTTTTTTGTTGAAATGTTGCTTGTAGTCAGTCTCACATGAGCTGTTTTATTGTGATAGTTTGGGAACTGTGCCCCTCATATTAAAAATTTATTCCATTACTGTTATGATCACATTTTTTTTAGCAAAACACAAGACACAACAAAATCCACTTGATAGATATGTTTATCTCTGTTTATTAATGGTAGATTTTTTCGAATTGATCACACCAGAGTGCAGACACGAATGACTTCCATTTATTGGGGTTATTTGGAAATAGGTCCTATCATTTAATAAAATAAAAACCCTATATATGTTGAAAGCACATGGCAGAGTATTTAGAATTTCCCATAGTCAATGTATAACCACTTATATTTAAATGCAAGTGACTTGACTGTGTGGTATTTTTCCTCAATTGAATATCAGAACTGAATTGAAAAAATTTAACGCTCGCAACTATATTAAATTGAAACTAGAGGTTCATCTGGATATTTGTTCATCTTTGACTATGACCACTTTCTATCATTGCATACTATAATATAATGCATGACTAAAATATTTTTGTTGTTGATCTTGTATTGCTGATAATTTTGTCTGTTTATTTTTTATTTTTTGCCAAAAACACAACAACAAAAAATCATTTTTCAAAAGCAGTAACTGCTTTATGAAGTGGACTGACAATTTTGACTTAATTGACTTTTTTCTTGTTCGGTCTTGCTGATTATTTTTACTGCTAATTGTTTCATTCCATCTTCTATAGTTTAAATTTTTTTAAATTTTTTTTTAAAGCATTAAAATCGTCATTTAAGATCTATTACTCCTATCTTTAGCGGTTTTCAAGATATTAGATAAAACTTGCATTTCACCCCTGTGTTCTATGTTTAACCAGGTCTTTATGTTTGTTGGCAGGTGTGGCCAAATTTGGTTCCAATTGGCCTAGTAGTTTCAATGGAGACATGTTTTGTTAAAGTTAACGGACGACGAACGACGGACTCCAAGTGATGAAAATTGCTGACTTTATCCTTCGGGTCAGGTTGGCTGAAAATAAGAGGATACAAGGGAAAATCAAACATAACATAAGTCGAAAAAGGACAGATAAAAAACATGAACAATAGACAAAATAGACAAAAGTCAAAGTCCCAAAAAACTCTATACGGAAAACTTAAGATCGACCAACATGAAATATATTAAAATACACAGGGGTGAACTGAAAAGCTCAGAAATGGCAGGCAGTTTCTGTTCACTCTAAAATTGCCTGTTTATAAATTTTGAAATTATAAAGAAACTAAGGTTCCAACTCCCTCAGGCAAAGCTGACCTTAGATGGATTTGGCTATTTTTTTAGATCCTTTTGATCATATAGTTCATCAACTGTATCGGTTCTTATACATCCTTGGCTTTTACATATTCGGCTTCGAACGTTCCTGATGAAGATAAATCTAGAAAAGCTCTTCGGACGCAAGACATGTTTTTTTATAAGGTGTTGTTTTCATTTTTTAATGGGAAAATGGTTGGTTACTTGGTGGCATACATAGGCTTTTTAGTATCAGCGGCGTAGGTTTGCAAACATTGTTTTTCATATAAGTGACGAGATGTATTTTCAAATAACAAGTCTTTCAGAGTTTATCACAGGACTTTGGTGGGGTTCGTATTGCTTAATCTTTATTTTTCTGTGTAATGTTTTGTGGACTATTGTAGTTGTTAGTCTTTTTTTGTTGTCATAGTGTTTTTCTTCAACCTTGAATGTTTTGTAGACATGTTGGTATCTTCTCCCTTTTCTTGGAACAAAGTTAATGACATTGTCATAGTGTTATGACATTGTCACAGTGTTATGACATTGTCATAGTGTTATGACATTGTTGTAACACATCGAAAAGCCATCAGAAGAAATCTATCAAAATCTCTTAAACAACCAATGAGTAGTCAGTGAAATTATTGAACGTCAATTTCATCATATTTGAAGTATGAGGATAATGCAAAAATGAAATATATCATCTGCCAATCAACACAATAAACAAGTAGAAAGTATATGTAGAAGCCTACTTTATAAAACAGTCGTTCGTACTAAAAGTAGGGGACTCGTAATTGAGTTTTAAACTGTATTATCAAATCTTATTTTAAGTTAGGTTATCAAAACTTTACAGTGTATGCTTTCTTCTTGTTAGTTATACATCATTGTTATACTATGTTTTGTTATTTTGTCACAAATCATGTCAGTTGAGTTATATGACTATGAAGTTTTGAATTTGACTGCGTGTACTCATTGTGTTATTTTTTTCGTGGTATGAAATCTACAAATTTTGGGCAATTTTTGAAGTTGTATAAAACTGCATTCAAATATTCTTTCCTTCAAGATCTTGCACAAATTTGTCTTGATGAAATTGATCAAATTTTGTTCTGTCAAAAATAGAAAATTTCGTCCTGTAAGCACATTTTTGACTCAAACTATGACTTTAATAGTTCAAGGATACTAGTCAGTGAACTTAATAAACAATTTCCCTAACCACAGTGGAATGTCCATTCTTGATAAAATTTCTTTTCAAAACAAAATTACATAAAATTTCACGTCGGGTTCAACGTGAGGAAGATAAGCTTGTAAACATGGTATAAAAGCATGCTTTTAAAATGTGATATCACAAACAAAAAATACTCCCGCCAAGATGTGGTCAATTCTTGTCTTCCTTGTTTGTGTGTGGGCAACTGCTGCTCAGGTTGTCAGACCTGGTGGATGTCCAAAGACTGTCACTCAAACCACACTCGATTTACCACAAGTAAGATTTTAATTAAAAAAAATATTCTCTCATTTTACCCTTACCCAGCATCAAAATACCGAAAACTTAATTGTTACCTACATATTATATTAAAGCATTATTTTAGAGGTTAATAATATCCACAAAAACAACGAAGAGATTATGGCGCGCGGAATATCTTACCATTCTGCACGGGGGGGGGGGGGGGGGGGGGTCAAAACAATAGGATATTTGATCAAACAAGGCCTTTTGCATTATTGGGCAAAAGATGACAATGTCTTGTCTGTTAATTTTATAATTAATTGATGAGCACTTCATATGTATCACCATAGCAATATCTCTTATTGGCAATTAGCTAAATGGAAATAGAAACTCTTAATCAACTTTTTGATATTATTTTCAGTACCTCGGAAACTGGTATGAAATCTACAAATTTTGGGCAATTTTTGAAGTTGGACAAAAATGTGTAGAAGCCAACTACCAAATTAAGAACAACAGTCATATTAGAGTGGATAACGCAGGTGTCAGGTGAATATATCAATAAATCTATTACATCTTCTTATATCTATGTATTGTCGCATATGTAAATATGTTATGATAATGCAAACAGATTGTGATAATCTGGGTAAACAAATGGAAATGAAAAGAAAAAGGATTATAAATAGGTTTGAAACAATTTTTTTGCTTCAAGAGTTAACTGAACTCCAGAAGAAATGAAAATTAATTGACAATTGAATGTTTCTATATTTCATAATGGGTGGAATTTATGTCGCTTTTCATAATTTAATTGCAATCTTAAAAAAAAATTATATCATTTTGTAGATCTGGCAGCAAAGTAGAAGCAATAGGTGACCTCTATATGCCAGACACTAACCATCCTGCTAATTTAAAAGTCAAATTTGCTGAAAGTAAGTATTTTTCTTAAATTCAAATGCTTAAAAACAGTAAATCTTTTTAAATTTTGCACATTTTGAGTATTTTATCTAAAAATGGATGGAAGAACATTACAAATTGTACCAAGAGTATAAAGTTTTCTCATCGTATGTCAATCAGTGCATAATTGTACAAACATAACTATACGCAATTTTGTATCGAAAATTAATATTTTCACAGAATTTTATTGAACTAATATTATTCTAAACCAGATAACTAGTAAAAACAATTCGAGTTCAAAGAAATTTTATTAATGTTCAAATTGACGCTATCACATACGATCTTTACTCTGTATCTGATTTTATGTTTGATTGTTGTACACAAGTACAAACATGCGGTAGTTTAAAGCGTTTATAATGTTTCAGCAATATATTTTGTTCGTAATGGCCAGTCGTTGTAGAATTTATTGTTTTGGGTCCTTTTTAAGGGTCCAGTAAGGTACCTCCTTAGGTCATAAGGTCACGTTAAAAACTTGTCTCGGGTCACCAAGTCACTTTTAAGCAAACTATACAGTTCTAAACTGATCTAATTTTCGGTTTTGAACATTTTTAAAGGCCACAGGTCTTTTTAAATGAGACATCAGGTCGTAAGGTCGCCCAACGAACCCCCCAAGGGTCGCGAGGTCGCCCACCGAACCTCTAAGGTCGCAGGTCGGATTCGATCATGTTGAAGCCACCTTTTTACCTCTAGTATTTAATGTTTGGTGTGCGTTTTGTATTTGCTCGTTTGGTTCGTCTTATACTATTTACCAGATATTATATTTTCTGAATTAAGAATAAGAATTTTCAGAGGGAAAGGTAAAACCATAAAGAATTTTGATCTGTTAATGTCCCATAATTCCACTTTCTGATAAATGATTAATTATAATAGTGCATGGACAATGATATTTGATATGAATATCTACCCATGGACGGTAGGTTTTTCGATACCTTTGATCCTGAAGACATACATACTAGTAAAATATAAATGGATATATTATTTTGAAAAATATGCGCAATAAAGTTTTTGTTTTGTTTCACTGACAAATGTCAATTTCTTTCATTCAGCAACTTCAAACGGCATATTTTTTTCACCGAATATTAAAATTCAGCAGAATCTGTTCAAAACGAATGGGGAATAAATGGCCTGCATAGACATTATGAATAAATACGTTAGTTTTCAAAAAATTGTCAGTCAGAAATAACGTTAATATGCATAAATACGTTAGTTTTTAACAAATTGTCAGTCAGAAATAACGTTAATTTTCAACAAATTGTCAGTCAGAAATAACGTTAATATGCATAAATACGTTAGTTTTCAACAAATTATCAGTCAGAAATAACGTTAATATGCATAAATACGTTAGTTTTTAACAAATTATCAGTCAGAAATAACGTTAATATGCATAAATACGTTAGTTTTTAACAAATTGTCAGTCAGAAATAACGTTAATATGCATAAATACGTTAGTTTTCAACAAATTGTCAGTCAGAAATAACGTTAATATGCATACATACGTTAGTTTTTAACAAATTGTCAGTCAGAAATAACGTCATTGACTAACTAAAGAGAAAACTTTTAATTTATTTTAGGTGCTCCATATGGAGACTACTGGGTATTAGACACGGATTATAAAAACTATACATTGATTTACTCATGCGGTCCTTTCCTTGGACCACTCGGACATGTAGAGTTTGCATGGATACTAAGTAGACAAAGGACTCTGGATCAATCTATTGTGGACAAACTTATGGCCAAGGCCAAAGCTTTTGGAATAGACATAGGTCATTTTTCAAAGACCGATCAAACTGGATGTTAAAAGACAATTATTTTTTGTGATAATTTATTCCGTTTTATATCTTTGTTATTTCTAAATAAAATCATTTCTAAAGAATTTGAGCGTTCATACACCTGTAAACCCCACCAAATTATGTAGGTGCTTGGCCCAAGCTAGGAGCATGTTATCCAGTAGATATCGCCCATAGTTGTATGTACTAATTAGCTCAAATCAGGTCGTTAAAATATGCGAAAGATATCAAAGAGACAATTAATATTCTTTAGCCGGAGAGAAACTGATAAAACCATAGAAAGTAAACTAAAATTTTTTAAAAAAAAACACGGAAAACGACGAAATGACCGATTGAAAAACAGTCTATACAACACTATATAGAAATGTAACGACTGAGCAACAAGAACCTCACAAAAAAAAAAACGGGTTAGTGTTCTCTTTTCATATTATTTCACAGTTTGTTATTATGGAGCCTTTTATAGCTCAGTACACGGTATATATGGACGTTACTCATTGTTTAAGGCCGTACGACCTGTAGTGGTTTGCATCCTTGTCCTCTGGTATTTGGTGAAACCATGGAAGTAACATGAAAAAATGTCAATGTAATATACTTCCATGGTGAAAAGTTGTTTAATTAGAAATTATACCCCATCTGGTATGTTTATATTCATTTATTTATCTAATATTTGTTTGTGGCGTGCCTCCATACTAATTTAAAATTTCAAGTGTATATATTCTGTCGCAGTAAATCTTTATGTGAAAAACAAGTTAATATACCTAACATTCCCTTCCCGCTGATGGTTTTCTTTTGCTGAACACGTATTGCCAACTTCACCTTAACCGTTATTACCACTTATTCTTGGATGTAACTTTTATGGTATTGAGGAAAAATTTGGAAGCTCAACATATTTTCTTAAAAGAGCACTAGTTCTTACATGGTTCCGTTTCTGTGTAACATCAAATTGCTGTAATAAGTATAAACATGTATGCCATATAAAGGCAAAAGATAAGACTCGTAAATAAAGTAAATTGCAAGAAAGTTCATCTGTTATGACGTGCATAAGTCAGGATGGGTGACCGGTAGTAATATTGCAACGTTTGCTCCAATTGGAGATAAATGCAAAGTAAACACAAAACAACACATTGACAGCTATATATATATATATATATGTGCGTTGGGGAAAAAGCTGACATTATCATATTCAGTATATTTCAATTATTGAGCAACCCAATTTAATTCCAAAAAATATTATACACAGGGTCGGATCCAGGATTTTAGGTTAGGGGACGCAAACTTAAATTTTTTTGAGGTAAAATTATCGAAATATTCTTTACTAAGCTGAAGACAACCCATGCTTTTCAAATTTTAGGGGGGGGGGGGGCGCACGCCCGTCACGCCCCCGCCTGAATCCGCCCCTGATACAGTGGTTATGAAATATTGATATGATAATTGGCTTTCATCTGTTCAATTCAAACAGCCTAGTACATGAGCCTGCACCGATCACCTGGAAAAACTGTATAGCATTAAAATAATTAACAAGTGTCAGCCATCTTTTACACACTAAGTAAGGTTTTGACCAATGTATGACCCAGACCCGCTTGAAGAACATTAAACAAATACTGAAAAGTAGTTAAAAGACATAAACCACTATATGGATTCACTTGACGATTTCTTGTAGGCCTTGCCTTGACGATCAATTTTGCTGCTACAAGTTTCTATCTATTGCAGATTTCAAGATAACTGCCAGAAAAAGAGGTAAATATCATCATTTAAGGGCAATAACTCCTATTAAATGTTGTTTGACATTTTTTGTTATTTGACTTATTTGCAGATCTGGTCTTGCTAATCATGTTTGATGTTCACATTTTTCTTTATCTTTTAAAGTTTTCAAGATTTTACAATCAAACTTCGTAAGTCAATAAAAGACCTTCAATAGCATGTCCAAAATAAAATTAAAAAAAGACGAAAAAACAGCTAACACATACACTACACAGAAAACTAAAGATTGAGCACCTTCAACTCAAATTTACAACAACAAAAAAACAATTGAGGTTTAATCTCATGTACTCCAGAAGGGTAAGCAGGCCCTGTTCTACAATTGTGACAACCCTATTAAAATCAAATGACTTAGTTTCCGTGTTATAACACTCGGTGCTGTTGATTCTATACAATACAAATTTATGAACCACCAAAAACACAAATATCAATTTGCAGATAATACTGACAATATATCACATGGTCGGTTTAAAAATTTTGCTTATCAAAATAAATGATCTAATATTGTAATAGCTTTTGACTTTCGTCGTTTATTTGCATATCCATATTCTGTAATATTGGTGTTTCTGAGTATTCGTACACACGTAGTGAACAATGGAAATACGCCAAACAGAAACAGTTTAAAAAGCTAGTTTTAAATCTGTAATTGAAATAAACGAATGAACAGAGGAAACAACAACTATGACAAATACATAAAGCTCATAGTTCAACAGTAAATGCAAAAAGGCATCATTATTTGACATGAGTTTATCAATCCAACTTTGAACTTTTGACATACGATTGTGATGTTTTTAAAATCTTAAATTCATTTCTCCAGTTGTGTATTCTATCAAGTTATCGATATACTGAGTTAAAATGGGAACGCAGGCTAACATAAAACTGGAGTTTACCGACGATGGAATTACGATAATACGAATGTTGAACGGGGAAAATCGACTGAATAATTCTTTTCTTCAGGAATTCAACAATACTTTGGATCTTGTGCTTGAGTAAGTGAACATTTTCTTATATCCCAATTGTTTGTTAAACAGATAAGTTTAAAATGTGGAACGGTCCACATTTTGACACTATTTACCGTACGAATAGATTTATTAGGGGCACATTACATGTTAACTTATTCTTAAGCTCACTTTAGACACTGCTAGGGAATCAGAAAAATATATGCATTGATAAAATAACATTCAAATCTATGGTCGCATGCAGATTAAAGAGTTTTCGAAGTCTTAAGCCCTGGAAATGGAGAGTCAAGCGTTGAAGCAATGAACAGCTGAAAATATAAAGTCGAGGTCAAGATTTTTGTATCGAATGTCCTCCTCCTCCTTTAGTCGTCCCTATTTAGTCGATATTATAACACAAAAACAGGTAGAAAGCATAGGTTCCTTTATTAAAAAGTCATTGGCACTAAGGATAGGGGACTCATAATTGAATTTTGAACTATTTTCATTAGTTTGTTTAATATGATTATACATGCTTTTTTCTTGTCATTATGTTAATGTTGTTTTTGTCACAAATCGTATAAGTTGGTTTATATGGCAATAAAAGTTTGATTTGATTTGATTTGATTATATTTTTCTTTATGATACAAGCACTTTTTTAGTTGCCTTTTTCACAATATATAATAATAGTTGCACCAACCTTTGTTAGGAATGTAATATTTAAAACATGTTAAAAATATTTCCAGTTTGATTTTTTTTTCAGAAATAAAGATTGCAAGGCCCTAATAACAACTTCAGAAGGAAAATTTTACAGTAATGGCATAGATTTGAAATGGATGACGCCATTAACAGACGAAAAGAGGGATCAGTTCAGAGCATCCCTAGCAGATTCGATATGGAGGATTATGCACTTTCCAATTCCAACTGTAGCAGCATTAAATGGTTTGTTTTAAACTTTGAATTGATTACTTTGAAAAGAAGAAATTCTATGTATTGCTACCTTGGGCTCTCATGGCTTTTGACGGAATTGAACAAAACGAAGTATAGATCTGATTATAGAGTTCACCATGGGCATATGACCAAATGACGACCCGGTTTTTTTGGCGTGATCATTTAATGTTTTGCTTAAAATTTTATGGATTTTGGGCTTTTTAGTTATTCGTTGCCAGTAATCGTGTTAATATTTGAATACATCTATGGATATATATATATATTTTAATAAATAGTACGTGATAACCGGACACGAACCCTTATTTTCATATTACAAAATTTAAAGTCGAGTGTAATTTTACCTTTGAAAACACGGAGATCTAAATTAAAAAGTTTTTAATATTATTTTGCTCTTGTGCAGAATTGATGCCCGTGTAGAAGTTTATTTCAAAACAAAAATCCGCAGTAAAACCCATTAATGCTCTTTGATTACACTCACACACACTTAGACACATTCATTTTTGACAAAGTGAACTGTTAAATAGCAAGTGTTAGAAAATGTTTTACGAAAATGAGAAATGTTAATATTAATAGCTGAAGAAATTTGTGAGGTAATCTTTTTTAATACTACTGGATTTTTAATGTATTGTCATATCTCCAGATGTATTAATATTTTAGGTCATACATTTGCTGGTGGTGCATTCCTTGCAATGGGGCATGATTACAGGGTGATGCGGTCAGATCGAGGATGGATATGCTGGAATGAAGTTCACATGAATTTACCAATTAAAGAGGATATACGAGATGTTATTAAGTAAGATTGTTCCCTAACTGCCATTTATTTTTTGGTAAAGATAATATCATTACTTATATTGTTTGTTGATCTGCACTTTCATCTTCAACCTTAAAAAAATCAATTCCCCATAAATAGAATTGATTGACCGGGATGAGGATCTGTCACTTATTATTTAGTGTCCAATGTCTCAAGCTTATAAAAGGCGATGAGAAAGGAAAAATTAATTGAATAAAGACAAGAATTCTGTTCAGTATTCTAAAGAGTATGAACAAAACTGTTGTACATTTAGTTCAACAACAAGCATCATTTCTTTAATCAATTAAACAGTTTTTGTTTAATTGAATTTGTTCGATTGTTTGTTTTATTAACTTAACTTACTATGGCAAATACTTCGTACATATTCAGTAGGATATATAGCTTAGAATCGAAACGTTAAACAAACAAAGGTATTCAAATATAATTTTTTTCAATTTCAGCAACAAAATTTGGAATGTTGATGCTCACCGTGAAGCTATTGTATTTGGAAGGAGAATTACGGCACCAGAAGCTAAAACGTTAGGCCTTGTTGATTCAGTTGTAGACATTGAAAATCTTCTCCAGGAGGCAAAACGTTTGGCAAAGCATGCACTTGGGAATAATAACATTGACAGGGAAGCATTAGCAATGATGAAAAGGAATACTTACACAAGACAAGTTTATGCCTCCAAATTGTGACACGCTTGCAATGACTTTAACCAAATATATGCATTATTTAGGTTCAAATGTAACTGTACAGTTGTATTCACAATAAATATATGATGTTTTAAGCATTTAGTATATTATTTAAGTACCTAGATAAAAGAGGATGTGAAACGTGAGTCAATAAGACAGCAAACTTACGCTACGATTAAAAACTATTTTTTTTATAGTCCATTCAATTTATGCACAACCTTTCGGACTCGGAAAGATTTTAAGCTTGACATATTATACAAACACCTGCTTTTTTGTTGGAGACTATAAGTTACCCTCTAGATGTCTTTTGGGTTTTTCTTGTGCCGTTGGGTTGTTGTCTCGTTTACGCATACCCAAAATCTATTTTTATTCATCTATATAATATAAAATTAGGTGATATGGTATGATTGACAATGAGACAACATAGTCCAGATGAAGTGGATTTAAGCAACAAAAGCACTATACGAACTTCAACAATGAGCCAAATCCATACCGATTGTAGTCAGCTATACAAAAAAAATGAAACAAACAAAAACAATGGCCTAATTTATGACAAAACAATGACAGACAGCAACCAACGACAACCACTGAAATACAGACTCTTAAATTAGGACAACCACATGTAGAATTTTGCGGCGTTAAACATGTTGTGAACGCTCTCAACTCTCATAACCTAGGACAGTGGTGTAACAGCCCAACATAAGAACAAACTGTAAAAATCGGTTGGAAATGGCTTGAATCATCAGATTGGCACAGAGTACAAGCAAAATACAACTAATATGAAGACAAAAGACACAAAGGTCCGATCTTACAGTACTCACAGTTGCTGAAAAATAGTTCAAAGCCTATAACACGTAATAAATAAATCCATTTCTTCCAGAATAAAGTATATATCAATCAACAAACTGCCTTCATCCATAGATAAGTGTTTATACAATATGACAAGCACTAACTTGCACAGAGTCTGGGAAATGAGCTAGTATATTAAAATGAAGAAGGGCCAATTTCCCAAGAAATTATTTCCCACCAGAGCCATTTTCCAAATGTCCTTTAATTTTTTATTAAAATCAACATTATTAAATGTGTATTTTAAGGTTTTGATAACATTTTCCGAACGTGTGACCAATTGTAAATATCGAAAATGTCTCAAAACCGCAATATTGATATATTTTGGCAAATTTGTAAATGATATGGCTAAAAAAATGATAAGAACATAAACCAACACCAATGTTCCATCTGAAGAAACGCTATGTTTTGTTTTCAGACAAAAACATTTCCATTTGGTTAGGGACTTCATTCGATGCGCTTTTTCATAAAATCTATAAAGTTGTATATTATTTCAAAATTGGCTTCATGCTTTAACAAGTATATACTCTTCAACAGACTTATATCAGGCTTTTTATGATACCCATTTGGACTTACAGCAGGAAAAGTGAATCATTCTGCATGTTTTAATGTTATATTTTCGAAATGAGGTTTTTAACAAAAATTATAGCCACCATTGAATAGCAGTTATATTAAGAATCCATGATAGTTTTCTACATCTTAGATTAAATCATGTATCTTCTCTGATCAACAGGTTCACGTGTTGTCTTTCTTTTTTTTAAAAGAAAGCTCAGTGTACGAAAGGTCACGTTATCTATCATGTGACATTATGGTCAGAAATGGGAACGACACAGAAGATTACCACAGAATTTACTGCTGATGGATTTGGAATTATTCGAATGTTAAATGGACAGAATAGGTTAAATATCGACTTCCTTACTGAATTAAACTCTGCACTAGACCGCGTTTTAAGGTAGGATTATAATTTTATGATTTTTTTGAGTTAAAGTAAATAAGATAGAAGATGCGATCTATATAATAGGACCAAGCTAGCTAGTTGGTTCGGACGGCTATTTAATAACATTTTTCTCCAATTATATCCGATCTACTTCCTGTTTGGACAGTTAAAAACGTAGTTCACTGTCTATACTTAAACACTGAATTTCGAAATGTCTTTTGAAAAAGATGTATTTTCGTCCAAGTTGTTTAGTCTTTATTAAATGCGAAAAACACGGTTGCTGCTTTCAAGAAAGCTATTAGCCCAAGGAATCTCAATACCAATGGCAAAGTCGAAGTCATTCATTCGAACAATCAATGGACGGGACCACGACTTGGTTGACAATATCATGGATATTTTTAGCTTGGAGTATTTATATATATATTCATAGGCGGATCCAGGGGGGGGGGGGCTGGGGGGTCCGCCCCCCCCCCCCCCTTTCGTGGAAAAAATTTGGTTGATTATATAGGGAATCACTGAAGCATGACTGGAGCGGCCCCCCCTTAGGTCAGTCAGCGATGGGTACCACAAGTAAAGCTTGAACTGCTTACCCTTACAGAGCACCTCTGTCCACCAATGTATTTTTTATTGGAGTTTGTTTTTTCTCTTACTCCCGTAATTTCCATTTAAATTATGTAGGTGTTGCTTGTCACTCGTGGTCTAGCATACAATTAATCTCATTTTAATTTCAAATTCAAATTCAGTCATTTTATAGGGTTAAAGAACTAGATATATATATATACCGATGGTTTATGTACTTAGTATATCTTAGGTTAGACTAAGACATATACCAATCCGCAATGGAATGGAGCCATATCTCCATTACGACTTACTGGGTTTTAAAATTATCACTGTTGAATAACACGACTGGTGTCACGTTTGGAGCAGGAACTACTATCCCATTAGGAGCGCACGAACTCACCCCGTTTTCTAGTGGGGATTGTATTAATAAATATTGAAGTTTTGTGAAGTGTTTTGTGGACTGCTTTTGTATTTGTTTTTTTTTTGTCATTTTTTGGTCTGTCCTCTTTCGACTTCGTTAGCTATATATGTAACAGTAAATTCGGTCCGGCAGTAAAATGTGTGCCCCGGACTTTGTTTCCTATGTAATGAAGGTCATGACCTTAATTTTACTAGAAAAATAAGTCTCAGGATAAATTTCCCTAGTAAAATAAGTCCATAGCTAGTAAAATATGTCTGACACTTATTTTTTAGTACTAGCAATTTGTGTCCACCCGCATACATTTTTACCAGGACTGATTCATCTCTTACATATACAACTAAATATGTTGACTTAAAAAATCCAGCAAGAGCAACAAAAAGTCAATATGTTCATGAAAGAGAAAATTTTATAGAAAGATCGTAATAATTACTCAAACACCAGAAGGTTCTTAACAAAGTTTATCATTTAATCTATATCAACATTGTCTCGTCCCAATTGATCGACACGTAGAATATACCATATGCAAGGACGTCAAGTTTATTTTTGTCTCCAAAACAGCCACATTAAACTTCTTATAGCAAATGTTAATACTGTGTTACTTCATAGCAAATGTTAATACTGTGTTACTTCATAGCAAATGTTAATACTGTGTTACTTCATAGCAAATGTTAGTACTGTGTTACTTTCATTCATTCAGTAACAAAGATTGCAAAGCTCTTATAACAACATCTGAAGGAAAGTTTTACAGCAATGGGATTGATTTGGATTGGCTATTTCAACAGCCCAAGGAAATAGGACAGAAATTTTCCAACCTTTTACACGACACACTATGGAGGATCATGCACTTTCCTTTACCGACTGTAGCAGCATTAAATGGTATGCTAGGAGTAATTGTTTTAGAAATGATTGCACCATCAAAGAAGAATTCTATTTAGAGAAAGGGGTGTCTTTTGAAGAAAAAAAAATGGATAATTATTTTGTCTTACCATTGAAACGACACTGTAAATTTTGGGAGCATTTAGAGTGACCATTCTGCGAGATTTCCCCTTTTCAGTGCCATATAATGTTCAAGTGATGCCGAATAAATATCCATTTCGAGATAATTAAAAAAAAATGAAAAGGTCAGCTAACACTAAGCCTGTCGTCCTCTGTTTAAATTAAATGATTGCATGATGTTGTTGAGGCCATCTAAACACTAGGGGTTGTTGCTGAGTGTTTTTGATCTGCAGTAACTATTTGTCTCCGGGATTTTTTTAATTTTTTTACTAAGCATGAGAAAACTCTATAGTTTTTTTCTAGCTTGGATTTGGGAAATCTTTGGTAATGAAATCATCACTTCGTCTGGTACTGTTTCAAATAGATAAGTATTTTATTTATTGGTCCATAGTTTAACTTACAGACGCCATATTGTCTTTAGTAAAAGAAAACCACACAGTTAAGCCTTAAATATACGAATTTAAAAGTATACTGAATAATCCGTTAGAATTGAAAGAAGGCAATTTACACTTACTTTTGAAGGTCACAGAGGAATAGTCGCTACTGTTCCGAATAACCTACCGTTTATTTCTTCAGATTTTATCTTTTCGTAACGTTTGTTCAAAAGATGATATGTATTTTAAAGAATTAAAATATAAAATTAAGACGTATAATTCTGATGGGCCATGTAGGCTAGTGTATGGTATATCTAGGCTTTATCCCCTGTTTTTTATACGCCCGTATACGGGACGGATTATGATATATCCGTCGTTATTTTAACATGTCGGACAATAACTCAAAAATGCTTTAACCAATTTCCCTTAAACTTTGGTGAATTGTTTATATCTATTGACGTAAGTTCCCTTTCGGTTTTTATAAATTTTAGATTTTACGTTTCCGATTTATGGGGTTTTATTCATTAAAAAAGGGGGATTTTCCAGTTTTCGGACAATAACTTAAAAATGATTTGAGCAGTTTTCATGAAACTTTGGTGAATTGTTTATATTTATTGACTGAAGCTCCCTTTCGATTTTTATAAATTTTAGATTTTACGTTTCCGAGTTATGGGATTTTATTCATAAAAAGGCGGGATTTCCAGTTTTCGGACAATAACTCAAAAGTGCTTTGGGCAGTTTTCATGAAACTTTGGTGACTGGTTTATATCTATTACAATAACCTCCCTTTAGGTTTTTTTTTTACAAAAATGACATTGAGGAGTTATGGAAATTTATCTGTTGAAAAAGCGACGGGCGTATCATGCGCTTATGGCGCATCTTTTTTTTATTTTTAGCTGTCAATGTTTTGTGGTTTTTTTTGTGTTGCCCTTTATATTTTGGCCACGTTATTAAATATGATTCAATCTATTTAAAAAAAAATGTATTGTTTTCGTGGGATTTTTTTGCCTCTAAATGTACACATTAAACACTTTGTAAAGCATGTACAATTACAAAAAAAATGTATTTCCTGTATTTTAAATATGATATTGTTACGCTTTTGCTTTTTCTTGGAGAGATTTTATCACCATTTCGCATAAATACAGTTCTAGAATGGATATGCAAAATACATAACTCAATGTCGTAATCACTTGACCTCTGCACTAAATGTGCGAACTCATAAAATCTGTTATAAGGATTTCTACACCATGAATGTATTACTATGTATAGCTGTATTTGATAAAACCTTTCGGAATTTAGGGTCCTCAAAGCTCTCCAACTTCGTACTTTATTTAGCTTTTTAACTTTTTTTATTCGAGCGTCACTGATGAGACTTTTGGAGACGAAATACGCGTCTAGGGTACAAAATTATAAGCCTGGTATCTGTGGGGAGTTTTTTAATAAGTAATATAAATAAAATTAAAAGAGGTATATAATATATGATTTTAATCAACAGGTCACACGTTTGCTGGAGGAGCTTTCATTGCAATTGCACATGATTACAGAGTTATGAGGGCAGACCGCGGATGGATATGCTGGAACGAAACGCACCTTAAGTTGCCGATTGGTGACCCTCTGCATGAAGTTTTGAAGTAAGATCACCAAACGTTAACCTTTTATATTGTATTTTCTACCGTACAATGTTATCGCAAAAGCGCTAGAGTCCTACGAAATGAGTCTAAACTTTACAAAAAAGTCTTGCACGTGATGTAAATAAAAGCTTTTGAATATTCCTGGTTCAATCCAAACCCAGGTTTCGTAACGCTTACAGGCTATGAGCAGTCACTTTTACAACATAGTCAATTCAAAAATGGAAAGGGTTTTATATTGAATAAAAGGGATTTAGGTTATCCGTCAATGACCTGAAATATAACTTATATGTTTAATTGGAATCTTGTCACGATATGTATTTAAATTAGTTAACTGGTTTGCTTTTTAAGTTTGTTTGATAAATACTATCTCCGTTTTACTTTACATTACATTACATTACATTTTTTTTCAATGTCCTTTTTTTATATTTAAACTTCTTTATATGGTTTTGACAGGAAGTCTTTTTTCTGGTTATCTGTTCTTTTGGTTGTGACATGGTATCAAGTTCCATATGACACACTTATGCAATTTACAGTAAAAGTAACTTTGCAGCGTTCGTCGTGTTAATTACCCGGACCATATGAGTATATACGCGTACGGTCCAAAAACTCATATGCATGGTCAAGAACAAATTCATAAAATGATATATGACAATAACAATATAAGTATTTGAGAGAAAACGATAATTATTCAACGATTTTGCTTGTATTGCATTCTAGTGAGTAACAGAACATTTTGGATCTATTACGTGGCAGTTTACTGTTAAAAGACTCATCATACATACCTGTGTCTGTAGTACTCTTGTGTGTGTCCAAGCCAATTGCAAAATACAATTTTTAACCACAGCACCAGTAAATATGATCCCAACGGTCACACACTTTTCTCATACAATGGAAGGACAGAGTACGCGGTATGCAATCAATTTAGTTTTAATGGTTATACGTTTATAAGACAACAACAAAACTGCACCATAAAGTCACATAAAGTTCAACATAAAGTCTTCAGCGATAATAACATGTCGACACAATATGCCAAGTTTGAAATCGTTCGAGTTTAGAAATGTCGAAAACTTATTTAACAGTAAAAATTTATTCTTTAAAAAATTCTATTGTAATAAATCATTTCATATCTCATATTTCTGTATTTAGAACTCAGAAAAGCGAATGAAGTCAAAACATTAAGATAACACCATCACATGTTTGACCGACGTCACATCAATCTATTGACTGCATATTCAAAATTTGTTTCAGCACAAAAGTTTGGAATCTTAATGCTATGCGTGAAGCCGTTGTGTTTGGAAGACGAATTACAGCACCGGAAGCCAAATCATTAAGCCTTGTTGATACTGTCGTTGAATTAGACAAGCTACTTCCGGAAGCAAAGAGATTGGCAAAGCATGCGCTTGGGAACAATGACATTGACAGAAACGCATTAACAATGATGAAATCGAATACATATGTCAGAAAGATTTTTCCATCCAAATTATGATAATTTAAGAGAAATGAAACTGTTAAGTTCACCTCAGCAAGGAGATGGCATGCGGAAGTGATTGCTGTGCAGATCATATATGTTTAATAAAAAGATTTGCACGACGGTCGACGCTCTCCGCTCGATTATAACTGTGATTGCAATCAGCTCTAAATGATTAAATACTTAGCCAGAAAAGACAAAATGATAATAATCATATCCTAGAACAACAGATTTTTAAAAATATAAAATATGAGTGATAATTAAAAAAAAATAATTGTCAAATTTTGACTGCCTGGTCTAGAATTTATTTGTTATATACAGCACCAGATCTAGATTCCATCCCGATTTTTCTTGTGGGATTACTGTTGCTCAATATTTTAGTTTTCTGTGTTATGTTTTGTGCATTGTTTTTTGTCTTTTTTCTTTGATCAATGACGTTGTCTGTTTTTTCAGGTTATGGGTTTTGATTGTATTAAGATTATGGTATCTTCTCCCCCTTTTTCTCTCTTACAAATATGTAATGTCCAAACAGTTTTCATGTTCCTCAGTTTGTGTTTGTTTGACACTACACTCCGTTCTTTATAAATTATAAGGGGGAACTATTATTTATCTGTGGACAACTGTTTTTGAAAATAAACTACAACTGTATAAATAAAATTATCTGAAGTCTGACGAATATAGGGAACATATTATATCCTTTCACGCTGGAAGTAGACCAACAATCCGAACTTGGAGTAAAGACTCTCCACTTTTATAGTCCTTTTTTCATTTCTATCCAGTTGTTATTTCAACAAATCACATCAAACTGGATCATCCATCGCTGTATGGGATACCAACCAAAATTTTACTACGAAAGCGTTTTTGCCTCCATTACGCTCTGTACAGTTTATAGATGTGAAATAGTAATAATAACGTCGCTAGTTAAGTTACATGTATTTGAAAAAGATGGCATGCGAGATAAAGGACTAGAAGTGGTTTAGTTTTACTATAAGGTAACCAACGTGCAGTTTTATTTCTGACAGAGGCAGTTATTTAAGTCAGAAATAAAATTACCCGGAATCGGCACATTGTTCTCCGGGTTTAAGTTTATCGTTGCTCTTGAATTTAGCCAAAACTATTAGATTAATAAGTAATGGCTGTTTTATTATATAACACAAGGTTAACCAGGATAACACACACCAAAGAAGAAGCAAAGGCGTATATTTGAAATATTAATTGATTTTCTTATGTGGTTAGGTTGAATGTTAATTTAATAGCATGCGACCAAGGTCCTGCATTTAATTTGGTCGCATGTAAGATATTAACAGCTCGTACAAAAAGATCACATGAATTAGTTTCGGATTTTTGGAAAGACCAACAATGTTTATCTAGTAATGCCTTTGAGTCTGTGGTATAAATTCGTATTACTGGGACACGACGATTGGTGAGTCTTGTCCGCACTCCATTTTTCCCAAGTTCAAGTTCATAGGTTAGATTTTGAAATAAGTTCGAGTTTTCAGGAGGCATCCACTCAATATCTGTCTGTGTTGGAGATCCAGTGTGAAAATGATAAATTGTTTGTTTTAGATCAATTCTACCAGGAATATTGCATTGGTTACTTGGTGAGCAATATCTTTCAGGAACTTGAACACTGTTGCCTAATTTGTTTAGAGTAGTAGACACATTTCTGTTCAGCTTTCCCCTCTTTTCTCTACAAAAAAATAAACATAACTATAAAATGCTGAAGAAAGGAAAGGGTAAAAACATTTTAGGACTATAGTCCGCTATTTTGTATACAATTCTTTATTGTTCCATCTTATGTAGTTTACATTTCTCAGTTGGTTCCATATACAGATGCTTGCAGTGACGCCTCAGATTTCTTTGATTTAATTAACTCTATTAGGAGATTATAATCATACTGTTGTTATTCAATCATCGCATCTGCTATCATTAGAATGATCCTTTTGTTTTTCTGCAATGAAAGTCGTTCAATAACGGGGTTGTTTCGGGTATTGCACATGATCGTGTTTTTTGTCCTTATGACGTTGCAGTATAAAATTTACTCTGAAGTACAGTCTTCGATATTAGTGTTTAGGTGGCATGATTTTATAGTACTTTGAACTTGCTATCCCGGATAATCCGTAACTGCGAGAATTTACTGGTGTGTTTGCAGGTGGAATTAAAGTTGGGTGTGAAGAGCGTGTCACTGTGCCTCTTAAAATTACCGAACCAATAGTTGAAAGGACAATAAAAGAGAAACAAGATAGAAAATATATGATATTTAAATCTAGAAATATACTTTACCTGAAGCCATGCGAATCCGAATTGTCTTCATACTGCTCGTGACTCTCAGAAGGAATATGTACAAAGACTTCATCCAAATAACAAACCTTCCCATCAAACCATTCCACAGAATCGATTTCCATTTTATTTACTAGTATATAAATACCTTTGAAGGTATATAAATTAGCTTGGTTATTTGATCAGCATTACAGCGTTGTTATAAATATTATCTACTTTAAATACGATTATGGCTATCAATCTGTCGAGTGATCGATATACTGGTATTCAGGAGGTTCCGAAAGGTTCATCCTAATTTTACACACAGAGAATTGCTTTCTTTTTCATCAGTTCGATATGAATAAAAGAGGAAGTAGTTCGGGTAAACGTCACTGAAACAACAACCCATCTATACTATAAATTACCATAAGACACAATTGAGAGAAACATACATTATAATATTCAACAATAATTTAATTTTGGATGTAACACGTCTTCTGATTGACTGAAAGTTTTTTGTCTATAAGCTCATAGACATAATTTTGTCATGTGACCGTGACGTCATCAATGTTTTTTTATGATTTACTCTTAAAAATGGAATTTAGAATTAAATTATCAAAAATGACTGTAATATTTTTTCTGTCTATTCGAAATAACCTAAAAAATGTGGTGCACACTTTTAAATAACACGCTACGCGGGTTATTCAGTGTGCACTACATTTTTTATGTTATTTCTTCATGATTTCCTTGATAGAGGGTTGCTGCTCACAAGGAAGCTATTAAACAAAGAGTTCCAAATGGTGAAGTTGAAATCATCCCTTCGTAAGTTTTACGAACGCCATCACGAGTTGGTTGACCGTTAAGGAATATCCGTTTCACAGATGATAGCGGATATGTTTCTAATGTCGTAACTACAATCCCGTCCCATTTTCCCGAATGTAACCTACCGAATTAGACTTATTACCGGGTTTGTACTAACATGAGTAACACGACGGGTGCCACATTTTGAGCAGGATCTGCTAACCCTTCCGGAGCACCTGAGATCACCCCCAGTTTTTGGTGGGGTTCGTGTTGCTCAGTCTTTAGTTTTCCGTGTTGTGTTTTGTGTACTGTTGTTTGTCAGTTGGTTTTCCTGTTTGAATTGTTTTACACTAGTCATTATGGAGCCCTATAGAGCTTGCTGTTCGATGTGAGCCCAGGCTCCGTGTTGAAGGCCGTATTTTGACCTATAATTGTTTACTTTTTATACATTGTGACTTGGATGGAGAGTTGTCTCATTGGCACTCATACCATATCTGCTTATTTATAATATAGCCGACAAGAACCAAAATGTAGAGTAAAACTCGGACAAGGGATCAGAAAAAATAGAGGCTTAAGAAACCAGAGGGACATTTAAACTCATATATCGAAAATAAACTGACAACGCCATGGCTAAAAAAGAAAAAGACAAACAGACAAACAACAGTAAACAAAACACAAAGTAGAAAACTTAAAACTGAGCAACACGAACCCAACCAAAAACAAGGGGTGATTTCATGTGCTCCGGAAGGGTTAGCAGAACTTGCTCCACATTTGACACCCTTCGTGTTACTCCTTTAAAATACGTTGATAAGATATACCAAGTGATAAAGCATCACACAATAGCGGATTGGTAATCGACTCTTGTCTAACCATAAGACATCACCAAATTCGTAAACCATCGTTCATGTAAATTTTCTAACCCTGAAACTTGACCGAGTGTGAACTTTTGTAGTTGAAACGTTTTTCATGACAAAGGATAAACAAGACTTTGTTTTTAGCTATGTAAAATCCTTGAAGAAAAGTAAAACCGTCTACGGTCACATTATCCTAAGGAAATCTGAGTTTGTTAAAAAAATTAATCAGAATTAATTCGCAATTTATTGAAATATATGATTGGCATATTATAGATCTCCAGAACTTGTACTCCCTTGGAAAAATGCACTAGAAGAGAAGGAAAGCTTGCCAACCTCTGACCCTATCACTTATTCTTTATATCACGAGTCATTTTGTTTCGTCTTAACACAATTGCTTGTACCGGAAGCACTTACAAGACCTTTCCACCAACAACATAACACTGTCAGACACAGTAGTCGACAAATAAACATATGATACCGATTTCACTTTCTTAAAATAATCCAAAGGTTCTTTTAAGAGGGTTTGTGTTGCTCGGTCTTTTTAGATTGCTGTGTATTAATTCGACGACATTCTTGTTTTAGCTTTGACCACGATGTCGCTTGTTCTTCAACTTAATTTTGATTTCATACATTTTGTTACTTTTTATTCATCTTTTAAATATTGTTCAATTGAATAAATACGTGTACTTTGTGAACGTAAGATAAAATAGTTTGGTATTTTGTGCATTTAATCGACTATTCATTCACTAAATGTTTTGTTCTATACCCGTTAACATCCTCATGGTACACTCTAAAAATATGCCCATTGAAAGAAAGTTGTTTGCGTCTATCCTTAAGATTCCTGGATACGCCCTTGGAAAGCATGGTTAAGGCATTTGCATATTATACTTCCTCTCACAAAAAATATCATTTGTAGAATTCTTTCGCTAAAAGTAAAAGTGTGAGTCTCTAGTTCATGTCTTGTAGACGAATCTTGATTGAAGTTAAGTCGTTATTCAGATGAAATGTATTACCACAGTGTGGCACGAACGAGATAAGGTATCCCTATATTCGACATAAGTATCCAGTAAGTCATCTTTTTTTTTCTTATTGCAGAATAAAATTAATAACAAAATATAAGTATCAATATGAGTGTATACCATTTGACTGAATAAATTTTAGAGCTTGATATGCAATCAACCACAATTCGCCATCTACAAGTTACCTTTTAGTGGTTGCCTTCATTTATATATCATTGTGTTTTTAACAGTAAATTATTATAATAATTATGTATAATATAATAATAGTAGTTTCTATTGAATTCATTCACAAATTGTTTTAAACTTGGGGCATTTGGAGATGAAGCTCAGTATATGTATTGACATTTTCCTATCATTGCAGACCGTAACTATAAAAAAGAAGATGTGGTATGATTGCCAATGAGACAACTCTCCACAAGAGACCAAACGACACAGAAATTAACAACTATAGGTCACCGTACGGCCTTCAACAATGAGCAAAGCCCATACCGCACAGTCAGCTATAAAAGTCTGTTCACATCTATTTAGTCTTTACACAGTGTAGCATCACCACCCGGTACCCCCGATGCGGTGGAAAAAACAAATGTAAAGTCCGGTAAGGTCAAATTCTTCTTATTTTCATTATATTCTACGTTTTGCTTACAAGTAAAATTTTGTGATAGTGATTCCTAATAATGTAGCTACTATTTAGGGCTGATTATGATCATAATTGGCTTTCTCTCTCGTTAAATCGTCAGAATCGGATAGGGAGGTACCTGTTCAACGAAGCTTGTGACGAGTTCAAATTTGTTAAAAAACACATTTATCTTTCAGCAATCCATTTGACGTTTCGTAAAACAAAGGTATATCATATATTAGCTTGAACAACACTGTATTTCGAAAAAAAACTATTGTTTACACAGAGAAATTTATGAAAACAAAGTGGAAAAATTGTACGGCGAATAGTTGTTTACTGTACGTGGATTCAGTGTTATAGATCTATTGTGATGCAGTGTTACCACCTCATTGGCTTGACCTCACATCACCTATTATACATAGGTTCTCTTTATTTAATTGTAGACAGGCTGTATTATTTGTGCACTATTTGCAAATAGAGCGGTCATCTAGGATTTCTAAAGAAATATTTATCAAGCGGAAATTATTGATTATTGTATTGAAGTCTAACTGAATTATAAATAATCTAACAAATATTTTTCGTCAGTCATAAAAAGCCCATCAGTTTAAGAAAGACAGACAATATTTTGGCAAAAGGACATGAAGAATGTTACACTACTATTTCAGGTTAGGGTGAAGGATGGCGCCTGTTAAAACGTTTAAACCCACTGCATTTGTTTGCACCTGTCCTAAGTCAGGAACCTGTTTCAGTGGTTTTCGTTTGTTGATGTGTTTCTTAAGTGTTTCTCTTTTCTCGTTTTTTATATAGATTAGAAAGTTGGTTTTCCTGTTTGAATATTTTTACACTAGTCATTTTGGGGCCCTTTATAGCTTGCTGTTCGGTGTGAGCCAAGGCCCCGTATTGAAGGCCGTACTTTGATCTATAATTGTTTACTTTTTACACACATTGTGACTTGGATGGAGAGTTGTCTCATTGGCACTCATACCACATCTTGTTCTATGTTCCTGGGTGTGGGTTATTTATTTAACTGCAGATAGAAACAACAATAAAACTCAGTTTTATGTAAAACTTTATTACTATTTTTTACAATAGGTTATTATTCTGATTTACGCGTAATACTCACAACAAAACATTACCTACATACCTTACTATAACGTATATAGGTAAAACAATTTCAGGGACACGTGCCTGCGGTTATACGGGTGTTAATATAATATATTAAACAGCAATGATTACCCCGTCTCCTCGGAGACGGTATTAAGAGTTGAACGATGGACAGACTTCGGACTGAATGCTTTCTTACTACCTGATTGGAAGATTTTACTGACTCTATAATAATTAAAGTTCGTTGATTGGTTGGGACAATTCAAACCTAGTAAATGTATTTTAATCCCGTAGAGTGTCGGATTTGAACTCTTTATTTTAGTGATTAGATTTTGTCTGGTTACCAATCATGCATATGTTAGCGAGTACACACACATTTTGTATTCAGACAATGTACATTTATTGTTTATATCCTACAATTAATAACTGGCGCTTTAAGGTTCGTGGCATATAAACTCTTATGTATTTAATTATTTTGAAAACAAAATGAAAATTATGTCTTATGAATAACCATGATGAAATAATTGTTTTTTCCATAATTGAATCGTGCATTATTTGTGTATTGGATTACTTAGTTGCCTTCTTTCTAGTGTTATCTATTTTGTTTACTGACAAATGACGAAATAATGCAATAGTTAAAATTAAATATTTTACAAAACTTTGTCACGATTAAAAAATTAAAACCGCCTGAATAAATTAAAATATGAGAATGCAATGATTATCGATGTCGAAATTAGCCGTCGGTAATAAACAGTCAGTTTGTGTAAAAG